TGAAAGGGTGTGTACTAAGGTATACGAAAAAATTCAAAAAGGAAAAAAACTCATAAATAATGGTTAAAAAGTCTGAAATGAAATTTCTTACTCCATAATACACCATTATTTAATGTATATTACAAACTTTTATGTTCAAAATTCAATTTTAAAATAGAAGGAAAACAACTGAAAGTACGTGTACTAAGGTAGACGAAAAAGTTCAAAACAAAAAAAATTCGTAAATAATGGCTAGAAAGGCTCTAACAAAATTTCTTCCACAATATCCATTATTTAATGTATATTACAAACTTTGGTGGTAGAAGTTCAATTTTGAAACGGAAGAAAGTCTGAAGGAGCGTGTACAGCTGTACACGCAAAAATTCATAAACGAAAGAACCCATAAATAATATTTAAAAAGGCTCATACATATTTTCTTTTGCAAAGTGCACCATTAATTAAATTGAGCAGCAGCGGTTTGCTTGGCTCGTTGAAAGGCGACGACAACCAGTTGCAGATCTGTCGAGCACCTCAGAGGTTCTCGACAGAGACAAGCTGTTGCGGCTGCGTAGTTGGTGAGGGTCTCGGATGGGATGCACGGTTCTCGGACGGGAGAGAGTTGATGTGGCAACTTTTCATCAACGGAGGTTAAGTTCGTGTGTCGGGTTGCCAAGAAACAAAAGGTGATTTGTTAAATTGCCAATGTTTAAAAGGATGATTTGTCTTCTGTTTGCTGAGTTAGACTTCTGGGGTGATGTAGTTGTTAACCACATCAGCTTTCCGTCGACAGACGTTAAATCCGTGTATCAGGTTGCCAAGTAATCTAAGGTGATGTATTAAATTGTTAATGTCTAAAAGTAGTGATTAAATGACCAATCGACTAAATGTGGTGTATTTTCTTGCTAACTGGCCTTAATTTAATTACAAAATCTTTAGATGAATTAATAATTTGTATAAATATATGAACTTCCACATAAATCACTTTGAACTTATATTCATGACCTTAATAATTAATCCACTTCTTTTGAAATTAAACAAAAGAAAAAGAACATCAATTAGGTATAAGATTTTTTAGTTTCTGTTTATTCTATCAAGATTTATCTAGTTAAACCTATAATTAAAAAAAAAAAATTCAAATAAAAAATATTATTAGAACGCATTTCCACCTAGCATTAAATCACATCTATTTTAATTATTGTCTTGTATTCGTTTACAATCTAAAAGCTATCTCATTTTTTTATTCATCTCTGTTTTTGGATGAGACAAGATTTTTGAATTTTTTTATATAAAATTGCAATTTCATTTTATAATTGAGATGGTTAGTACCAAAAATAATTTAGGCCACCACTCATGCAAATATTTAGATCTGCGCCTGTACACAACCTAACTTATCTTTATCTCCAACATAACCTAAAATATTTATTTTATTTTTATTTATTTATTTATTTATTAAGTATTTATCTACAATTGATTTTAGTTAATGTTTTAATGGTGACAAGTTAATTAAAAAATCAATAATTAAAGTCATAATGATTTCACAATTAGTTGTGAAATCATTAGTTGTGCACCAGAAAAGGTCTTTGAGGTCCTATAAAGGTGGGGAGATACGGGGATTGTCTCTCGACCCAACCCCATTTCGTACTGCAAATATAACGAATTACGATCATTCGACCAACAGTTGCATGGAGCTGAAGGACGAGATCGAGCACCTCATCCAAGTTGGGAATCTCAAAGAGTTTGAGCTGAGAGACAAGGATAAAAAGGACAATCTTGAGGTTGAGGAAAAACAAGCGACCAGATGAGGCTGAGGATAGGCCGCCCAAGGGCATAATCTAGATGATTGCAGGAGGTCCCACTGACAGAGACTCTAACAATTAGAGGAAGAGGACATATCATGACAAGAAGATTTCCAAGAAGGTCGAAAAAGTCAAAATCTAGCAACCCGAGGTTATACTCATGTTTGGGTCAAAAGACGTGCAGGGTGTTTCTACTCCGCACATTGATGCCTTCGCAATCACGCTGAGGTTGCAAGTTACAATGTTCAGAGAGTGTTCAATGATACCAACAACTTTTTCGCCATCATTTTCTTACAATGTTTGAGACAAATGGACCTAGAGGTGAAGATTGAGCCAGTACATACAACCTTTTACGTGTTTAATGGTAACGAGGTCACACCGGTAGGCGATGTGTGACTGCCTGTGGCGCTAAGAAGATCTCCCCTGAGGAAGGTCAAGATGGTTAGATTTCTGGTGGTAGATCTTAGCTCTGTGTACAACATTATTCTTGGAAGCCAACTCTTAACTCATTCTAGGCAGCAGTCTGGACCAATTGTATAAAGATAAGTTCCCATTTGGAGATCAGGTCGACGAGGCGGCAAGAGACCAGGGGTAGACTAGGTCGTGTTACCAGATGATGATAAAAAACTCAGAGGCCCAGAGGAATAAAAGAGGTAGGGATATGGACCAGCCAAAGAGTTAAAATAGAGAGAAGAAGTAGGAGAAACTTGAGATCTCATCTCAGATCGAGCTCATGGAGATCGATTTCATAGAATGAGAGGTTGGGAAGGTGTCCAAGTAGGCCACCATCTTCCAAAGGATATTCAGATCGCCCTCATCGCTTTATTGAGGAAATATGCAGACATTTATGCATTCTCAGCAGATGACTTGACTGACATACCCTAGACGTAGCAGAGCACATATTGAACATTGATCCGGCGATGATATCAGTCAAGTAGAAGAGAAGAAACTTTGGTGCAGACCACGACCTAGTGATTGAGGCTTAGGTTGAAAAGCTACTTAAATCAAATCATATACCTATCCATTTTCCAGAATGGTTGTCAAACTCAGTCATGATAAAGAAGGTTGAAGGTAAATGTCGAATGAGAATCAACTTCAGGGACCTGAATAAGTCCTGCCCTAAGGACAAATACCCATTATATCGAATAGACGAACTCATGGATTCTACAGCAGGGTGCGAACTACTCAGTATAATAGACGCTTCCCAGGACTACCATCAGATAACCTTGGCGGTTGAGGACTAGGAGAGGATGAGTTTTTTACGTCCAAGGGCACTTAGTGCTACGTCGTGATTTCATTCAAACTCAAGAATGCTAGAGCGACCTACCAGCGGGTGGCAGACAAGATATTTAAGGACCAGGTAAGGCAGAACATGAAAATCTACGTGGATGATATGATCGTGTATAACAAGAAGAAGAAAAGTCTCGTTAGCGACCTGAGAGAGACCTTTAACACACTAGGAAGCTATGGTATGAAGCTTAATCTGGCAAAATTCAAGTTCGGGGTCAGGTTCGGAGATTCCTAGGGTACTTTGTTACATAGATAGGTATTGATGTCAACCTAGAAATGTGAAGTCGGTGCTTGTAATGCAGCCGTCAAAATTTGGAAGGAAGTTCAGGTCCTCACATGACGCCTGGCCAAGCTGAGCAGGTTTATCGCTCAGCTAAATAGAGCTTCCCATTTTTTGAGCATTGAGGAAAGGATATCGTGTTTAGTGGACGCCTCAAGCACAACAAGCCTTTGACAGGCTTAAGGAGTTCTTGGCTTAGTAGCATTTGCTCACGAAGCCAGAGCTAGGGGATGACCTTGTCCTATATCTATAGATAGGAAAGGTAGCAATCAGTTCATTTCTGCTAAAGGAGGTCATTAAAGGCCTATCCACTACACTAACAAAATCCTTTAGGGCACCGAGTCAAAGTATTCAGGTCGACAAGGCTACACTGACGCTTATCTCGAGGGCACACAAGTTACGACCTTCCTTCTTTTGCACATAAGTTCGTAGTTAGGACGAACTACACTATGAAGGATACACTAGGCCGACCTACGGAGTAAAGTGGGCTATCGAGCTTGGAAAATATATTGTGGATTTTGAGGCAATAAGAGACATTAAGGCTTAAGTGTCGGGCATTATGCACCATTAGTTGTGCACCAAAAAATGGTCTTTGAGGTCCTATAAAGGTGGGGAGATATGGGGATTGTCTCTCGACCCAACCTCATTTCGAGGAGGAGAGGGTTCATGTCTGGAAAAGGT